GACGAGCCGCTCGGCTCGGTTGACACCACTAAATCCAATATGAAACAATGATCATTACACTTAAATGGATATAAATGAAGTTAATTATATTAAATGGTACTATATTAAATATATAAGGATAGAATTGATATATAGCTAAATATAATATATAAGAGTAAAATTGGTATTCGAAAGTTTCTCCTCGATCCACACTTTTAATATATCGTAGATAGATAGATGTGCACCTTTTGTGACTTGTGTATTCGGAGTAATTAATTTATTTTATCTATATATTTCTAGTTCACCAAATCTTTATTTTTTGTAGCTTCATAAATTAATTAGTTTTGTTTTGACTCCAGAAGGTTAGAGGAGAGGACAAAAGAACTAAGATAATTAACGACAACTTAATCATGTTGGATCTTTAATTATTACTCCGAATACTCCGAATCAGCTTCTAATCAAAGTTATTTCTGATTTTATGAAATTATATCCATTGCAACATGGAACATTGAATTTACTATTGGTACACAATTTGGGATGGAAATGGTCGACTTAACTTGGAGAAAAATCAACTTTCTTGCATAATTTTCTCTACTAATCAATTAAAGAATCCATTTAAAAGTAAAAAAGTTACATTATCAAATAAGCCATAAGTCTTGAAAAGAAACATTAGGTAAATAGTCACTACACCAAAAAAGAGTTTTTGCAGCTGTCAAAAAACGCTGCAAAAGACCTTTTGCAGCTTTTTTCCCAAGTGTTGCGGAGGTCGGTGTTACCGTTTTTCCAAGTGTTGGGATAAGAGGAGTATTAATTGTAAGGCATCTAGCTCTCGATTTCAGGGAGCTGCTACAATGGACTTAATAACTTTAATTGGTTTTGATTGAATATTATTGGAGGTCACATGCATGCTTTTAGTCTTATTTTATTTAGTGGCATAAAATAATCGTTCGTTTGACAAGATTTTTAAAAAGTCAAATCTGCTTTTAAGGTTGAGAAAATATTTTGGATTAAACCATATGTATAGAAAAAAAATTTGACAGAAGTTTTACACCCACTCACATGTGTGGGGCCCACCGAAATAAAAAATGAAAAAAAAAAACCCACATCCTGCATTGTGCGTATCTGGTTTTCCTCTGTGAAACCATGCTTCTGTACACGAAGCATGGTTCAAATATTTTTTATATATGTTTGGATGTTTTTCTAGAAGTGCGTTATCTAACTAGAAGAACTTCTTCTACAAGAAGCTGATCTAAGGTTGCTTATTCAAGAATATTTTCTACAAGAAATAGAAGTAAAAACAGAAGCCTTGTGAAACGACCCTTAATAACGGTTATTTTAAAATGTATGTAGAACAAGAGAGGAGATTGCATGAACGCATTTGTTACAAATTATTAGACAATTTAGAAGACATTAATTATAAACAAAATTTTAACTTCCTCGAATATAAAAAGTAATATGTTTATATTGGCAAATGTCAAAAGTCGGAAATTAAATAAGTTAATATGATATAAAATATACACAGTCAATAAATACTTTGTTGTTAAAGATGGTATTTGGATTAGGCAGGTTGGCACTACAATGCGAAGGTGGCATAAAAGGTAGTGATCAATAAATTTTCTCCGACTTTGGACCACCGTCAATGGCACAGATTTTGACAACACATGAAGTGTCCAACTTAATGTACACCAAGTGTGTACAACTTGTTTAATCCTTAGATTTAAACGGCTGTGATTTGATTTATACACTGATAATATAATTATAAACATATATCGTATGTGCAAAACAAACTCAATTAATGAAAAATTTATTTATTATATTTTGGAAAGTGGTTCGTCTAAAAGTTTTTGCACACGTTAACGAGCATTTGTGAATGGATTTCATACATTCAACAGTGGATGAAATTGTCCACTGTCGTTATCGCAAATAGGATTGACTAGCTGATTTTGCTGTTTTTTTCTTTTTCCGTATCTCGTGATATAACTATTATAATTATGGAAGAATACTTTTTCATAATATAATTAATTAGGAAGGGTGTAAGAATTGGTTAACACTTTGAAAGAGTAGTTAGTGTGATTTCTCTGTGCTATGTGGTGTGTAATGCGACAGAAACGTGAATAATTTGATGTTGAATTTCTGGGTGTGGTGCCCATTGGTCACAATATCCAAAAGAGACTGTTGAAGTGAGGTGTATGAGAATATATATAAATAGAGGGGCTGTTTCTCTCAAATTCAGTAAGAAAATTAACACGTCTTTTTACAGAAACATAAGAGTTGTAAGGGATCTGAAAAATACTTTGCTTAGAAGATATCACCGTGTGTGTGTGTGAAAGGTTTAGGATATGGAGAATACAAGAAGACAAGAGGACAAGGGAGAAAATATTTTTGAAGAGACTTCTGTTGATTGGAGAGGATTGATTGGAGAGGAAGACCATCAAACCCAATTAAGCATGGTGGAATGAGAGCTGCTTCCTTTGTTCTAGGTCTCTCTCTCTCTCTCTCTCTCTCTGAGTGTGTGTACAGAATGGATCAGTAATCTGGATTTTCTTCTTGTTTGTTGTTACTTTTTTTGTCTGCTGTGTGTATATGCATATTAACTTTTGTCTTCGTGCAGGGCTTCAAGGATTTGAGATAATGGCAATAGCAGCAGTTGGGAACAACCTGATAACTTATGTGATAAATGAGATGCACTTTTCCCTGTCAAAATCTGCAAACATTGTCACTAACTTTATAGGAACTATTTTCATCCTTGCACTCCTTGGAGGCTACCTTTCTGATTCTTATCTTGGTTGTTTCTGGACCCTCCTCATCTTTGGCTTTGTTGAACTTTCGGTATGTTTTTTTCTCACCCTTCCCATTTTATTTTATTTTTGAACTGCCTTCTCTAAAACCTTAAACTGTTCGATAAAGTTTAGATTCATTTTTTCATCAAAGTGCATGCAAAATTGTAGGGTTTCATATTGCTGTCAGTACAAGCCCATCTGCCCCAACTAAAACCTCTCAAATGTAATATGTTACTTGATGGAGACCATTGTGAAGAAGCAAAGGGATTGAAGGCTTTCATATTTTTTGTGGCACTCTATTTGGTGGCATTAGGAAGTGGTTGTGTTAAGCCCAACATGATAGCTCATGGTGCTGACCAATTCAATGATCCCAAGCAATCCAAGAAACTCTCAAGATACTTTAATTCTGCCTATTTTGCCTTCTCCATGGGTGAACTTGTTGCCTTGACTGTCCTAGTTTATGTTCAAACACATTCTGGAATGGATTTAGGTTTCGGCATCTCGGCCACAGCCATGGCTATGGGATTGATAAGCTTGATTTGTGGAACACGTCTGTACAAGAACAACCCTCCTCAAGGAAGCATCTTGACCCCTATTGCACAAGTAATGCCACACTTCTTTTACCATCCAAGATTTTATCAATTTTCTAACTTATATTTTCGTCGATGATGAAGCCTTTACAGACAACAAATTGGCTATTAGCGCTGGAAATTTCTGTTGCTAGCTTTCTTGTTTCCTATTGGAGGGGTTCTCTTGCTTTGTTTCCAAAATCTGAGAAACTTTTGGCTATACATCTTTAAATATTGACTCCACACTTAATTTAGTGACAATATTATTATCATATATAAAGTTTGGTTGTGACCTTGAGTAACGTTTTCTTATTATTTTATGCCAATTTGGTGTCATATTTTAATTGAAATTTATGCGTTTTTAATATTGATACGGTGAAGCCAACTATTTGATTCTCTAATTAATTAGGAATGCAATCTTGTTCTTTTGTGTCGATTATATAGAAATAAAATAATCCTCGATTGTTGAATAAGTATGTCGGATACAAATTTTTTAAAATTCATTTTTCTCATATTTATTTTCAACTATACATTCTTTCAATGAAATAATTTTGAATTCTTATTTTTTTTCCTATTTTCCAAAAAATAATAATAATAATAAATAAACAAATAATCATTTTTCACATAATTTATTTTCAAAAAATCTACCTCAAACAAGTTCTAAAATAAGTTTACGTTGATCCAAGTGCTGTCTTCTGATACATCATGTTCATACGTCGGAGGATTTGGCAATTTCTTAATAATTTATTTTTATTTTTATTTTTAATATCAGGTGTTTGTGGCTGCAACTTTAAAGCGAAAGCAAGCGTATTCATCAGATCATTGGATGCTTCATTGGAACCAATCCAAGGAACAAATTGCTAATAGTGACAGTACCAACAATCTTTACCTGTCTGAAAAATTCAGGTAACAATTTTATTTTATTTTTTTCAAATAATTCATATATAAAATAAACAAGGAGCTGATTATTTATGCGACCGATTT